GAGCAGAGAATACACAATCACCCTAACACACTGCCAATGTCCTGTGGCATATGACATTTGATATATTTGATTTTTGATATAAAAGATTATTATATTGCTGGGAAGTGTCCTGAGCTGCAAGGTGCACAAAAGATCCAAAGCTTTGCAGGTGCTCTAAGTGTTAAGACAACACAATGGTTACCCATGTTCAGCTCAACAACCAACTTAGATCACCCTGCAGATTAGTAGTTCGATTTAGAGTTAAATGCCCCTTCAATCTAATAAGTGTGTTACACATGCTTTAAATATAACATTAATTCAAGTCAGACTTTGTTTAAATTTAACTGAGTAAAAGCATTTTATCTAATTTCACAGATATACTCTGCCTATATTCAGAACTCTACCTGCTTTGGTAACAGCTGCACACACAATACCAAAGAACAGCTCAGTGGTACTAAGAAACATATCTAAGACAACTCAACAGAAAGATAAATTTCTTAGTTGTTGGCTTTTGAGGGGTTTTTTAATGTTTTGGTTTAAATCCTTCATCAGGTTTCATTTTCCATATATCTTAGCACAATAATTTTTTGTCTCTCATGCCCTCTCATCCATTTAATAAACCTCCCACAGTTTATTCAGGTTCATTTTGTATCACCCCTAGTGCTCTTTTACTGCATTATGTTCTCCAGCCCTTTCTTATGATTGAGATTTCCCTGCCTCCATGACCATGACACCATTCTACTGATATTTGCTTGGATATATGTGGATGCAGTACATGTAGTATAATATTTTACTTACATATACATGTATTTATATATGCAAATAAAATATGCAAGTTGCATCTGTTGATATTACATATATAAACCTCAAAACACCTGTGTGTAGAAACATACCCATGGGTACATCCATCCACATACTAAAATGTGCAAACCAGATGTGTATCTGAATAAGCACCAATATTTCCAATTCATACATAACACTTTTTTAACTGTGCATAAACAGTATCATCCTAATAGTACCTTAAAACGGCTTAAAAGACCAGTGTAAAATTCATTGGTGGGGAAAAAAAAATAATTCCATTTCCCTTCATTGCAAATGTTTGTTAAATATAAATGCTGACACTCTGCTGCTTGGAAGAATGTTTGTCTGCATGTGGAATATAATGATAAAAAGCTTTAAACTCCCAGGTTTCTCCAGACAAACCCCACTGGCTTACTGATGCATGAATGCACTGAAATTGAATTACTGTACAACAGCAATTACTTTTCACAGTACAGTTATAATGAGAATCAGTTTCAAATGAATACCAGGTAGCTACAGTAGGAAAAGTTAATATAAAAAAAAAAAAAAAATTCCACTGCAGAAGTGGTAGTTGCCTCAAAGCAAAAATAATCCTTAACACTTGATTTACCATCTTACAAGTAAAGCAACACTCATTTTTACAGGATTCTCTAGTAAAGAAACACTAATGAAAACAGAAATTTAACTGCATAGCTGAAGTTTTAACAATAGCTTTTATAATGTTCCCTAATAAACTGTTTATCTTTAATTTTGGTTTGTTTTTCACCTCCCTTTATCTTTGATTTTTTTCCTATTACACCATTAACTAGGAAAAGTAAAAGCACCAAATGAATAGTTTTATTTTCATTTCTTTTTCACTATCAAGTCCGTTGCAGTCATCATTTTTCACTGAGCACTGTCATGGTGCTCTATTCCTCCTCAGCTTTAAATGAGTGGAGTTGCTAGAAGTATCACAAAACCCTCTAGAAAGGTTTAAAAATCACAGCTTACTTTAAGACTGATCAAGAACATTTTCTATGAGTGATACCACTGGAAATCCAGGAAAAGCAACCAAAGCAATACCACAAGTGACAGCAGACTAAGCAAGGCTCTCAAAGGGGTTATTTGGGTTTGGCTGTAAAACTAAACTCACTGCTGAACACCGCAGGGAACATTTCCACTCATGCTACCTTATGGGCAGTAACGTTTTTCCCAACCTGAATGGCACAGTCTTCAAGGCAAATGGATACATCTACGTTTGTCACAGCTAGAAACAAAGCATCCGTGACACCGAATCACCACCACTCTTGAGTGGTCTTAACTTCAAACATGTCACAAAGATTTCAAAATCTGAAGTTGCCTCTCTGAAATTCATTGTCAAGTAGGGCAATATTGGGAAGGAAATAGTTAACAGGAATATCCTGACATAAATCTAAGGTAAATAGCGAACACTAGGAAGAGAAAAAAGTTGCTTGCAAGGGTTTCCATCAGTAAGTAGATGACAAAAGGTTATATAATTGGTCTAGCACTTTGAGTTTTCCATTTATTTTACATATCTGACAGCACAAAAATAGGACATTCTGTGATAGGATAATTGCATACTGAAGGGTAATTCAAACAGTGGATGAATATGATGAAAATCACACTGAATCAACTAATAACTATGAAAAGTGATGAGATAGAAAGATAAAAATTCAGCCAGACTAAAAAGGGGAAGGGGGGGGGGGGAGGGAGGAGATAGTTCAAATATGATTAGTTGCTTTAAACAAGTTAATGTGTTTGAAAGCATAAAGCAAAACAAAAAATCTGAGGGCCTTTTGAAGCCATCCTATTTCTATATTCCCAAGTCTTACCTTGTAGGCCTTTTCTACAAATTAATTGTATATACTCTGGCTTTTTAATGGTTGTCTCACATTGCTACATCTGAAAAAGTATATTGATATGTTTTATCTAAAATGTGTTTTAATTTAAACCATGGGTTTTGGTGTCTACTTGAAGCTAATTCAAAGAGCAACACAGGGTAACCATTCGGGGTAACATCAGAACGTGTTTTCTGAGGTTTTAAATGTTTGCAATGGTCACCACATTATTTCAAGGGTAAAGATATTTTGTAAGCTGCTCTCCCCTTGGAACTTACCCCAATATCACCGCCAGCATAACTAAAATATTATTCTGAATTCTAGGTTTCAGAGTTCTTGGTACACATTTCCACCAAAAGCTTATGTCAAAATTCTATTATCTTAGCACCAAGGTGATGCAGTATTACTTTGTCTTAGTATGAGGAAGAGGTCTTAGTAGTTACAGAGCTCATATGGACCTATCTCACCTCTCCGGATATGAGGCAAAAATTCACAGTGATGTACCAGAGATGGAACTTGTGCAAAACCTGCACCATACCACAGGATTTTATTCTTATCAGGACATGAAATACTTAGCACTACTTATTACCAAAACATAATAGGTCACCTGCTACATCTCTAGCAACCCAGATGAACCACAGACCCTGTCCAAACTGATCTATTAGCTTCCTTTCCAAAGATGGAAACCTTCCAAAGAAGCCTCTGGATGTCAATCAGTTTTTCCAGCACCAAATCCCTTTCATACAATACTGTATGTGTAATTTAGCTTCACAGAATTTAGGCTTATTTTTAAGCCACCAGAGCATGGTGACCTACATTGGTCTTTTTTTTTCCTCCTTAAACAAAAACACCATCTGTATGGAGATGCTAAACCCGTTCTAAACACACAGGTAATTCACTACAAAGCTCTAACTGAGAAACAAACTGCTCTTCCCAAGAGCACTCCACACTGAGGGCACAAAGCTGCACTTCCCTTGTGTGTAGCTTCCCAGTCACTTCCTGCACTAAACAAGCCCTACTCTGAAACTTCTTTTTTCACATTGTAAGAATCTCAGGGCAGCACTTTTCTGTGCTAAGAAACAAGGAAAATACACACACAACCCTGCCCAAAGTCAATATTCTGCAGACTTCTGGAAGCTGCTGCACACATCTTACAGTGCAGTTTTCCTCTGAAAAAATAGACTGTAAATATAGCATTGCAGGGTTCCATGTTTATTGTCTTTCTCTGCTTCCTTGCCAAGTGTGCTCAGTTTACAAGCTGAAATATGTTTAACTTCTCTGCCAGCCCAGAAAATTTAACTTTTAAAATGTTGACATATTCCTTCCTCCTTTTTACACCATAATAAAAAATGAAAGGCTGAAGACAACACTGTGTCTACAGTTACACAAATAGAATTCCTGTCCTTGGGTGATGCCTTCAGCTGGAAAAAAAAAAAACAAACACAAAAACACAACAACAACAAAAAACAACAAAAAACACAACCCAAAAACCAAACACCACCAACAACAGCAAACAACAGACACCTTCAACTCCACTGAGCAAATAAATCTGACTGAAAAAGAGAGATCATGGTAAATGTAATCACCATAATCACCTGGTAGTTTGTTCATATAGTTGATGTAACAGGAACTATTGTTACAGGCAGTCACCTGAATTTCTAGCAAAGAATCATGCAAAATTAAAACTACAACAGGAAGACTTATTATTCAGGGCATGCATGTTACAATTAACTCCAATGTAGTAAAACACAGAACTCAGAAATTTTTTTTTATGGTAAATCTAATCTAATAGCATGACAAAGTTACTACAAAAGAAGGATTAGAATGGAGAGTTAAAAAAACCAAAACCAATACAAAATTTAGAGATGAACAGATAGCTCAATGTAGTTACTTAATGATCATTAATAAGGCCCCTTCAAAGTGATGCAGGACTTACCACAATTAGAGGAATTTTGCATTTAGGCCTGAGGCATCTACGGCCTTTTGATTTGAACTAAAGGATGGTTACTGACCTCAGAAGATTCCCAACACTATTTTTATAATAGTGAGCGGTGAAATTAAGTTGCTTTGGGCTTGATATTTTGAAATCTAACATTTTAATGCAGTCATACATAGTTATGTTTTACTGATCATAAGTGATATCTTACAAATTCATAAGGAAATCTGGTTGTCCAAACCTAGATGGAGTCTCTGTATTTATCTATTGATTATATCAATAATGTTTATCTACTCTCTTGATCACTTAACCTAAAATACCCCTGAATGCTTTAATGTTTCCACTTCAGCACCCTCAGTTGCTAGGACAGACTTCAGAGCAGAGCCTAAATCATACACTTAGTTTTATATCACAGAATTGAACTAGCAGATGGTTGTACTGCTTACCCGTACAGCTTCAGACTTTTTATGAAACATTTCTTCCATATTCTTTGCTAATTTTTTCACGAGCTGAAGGCCATCTATTTCTTCTATTGCAACATCCTTCTCATATTCTTTGTATTTCTGGAAGAAAAAAAAAAAAAAAGTTAAATAACGAGGGGAAGTTATTTACAGTGAACCAGGTAAAATTTTGTAAATTTGTAGTTTCTTATTACACTTCTACTAATATTCTCAATTTATTTGATGCTTATTTGTATGACAGAAGGCTTCTTTGTGCCAAGACACTGTCACAGCAATAGAAAAACTGTGTTAGAACAGAACTCCATTAAGAAAATATAATAGAAATATTTATCTCGTGCACTGTAAAAAAAATTATTATTTTCCTTCACAACATGTAAATTACCTCTCCCCACAACTGAACAACCGCTAAAAAAAAGTAGCGGAAAACCCTCATATCCCATCCAAAAATCATATAAAACCAGTGATACGTATGGTAATCCACTACACCATGAAAATCTAGAGACCTCCTTGTCAGCTGAACTTCTTGTAGTTGTCTATTCACAAGCTTTATCTAATACTTACATTATTAATACTTATAACTAGAAGCTTATCTATACATTCTTAACTTCCCATGCAAATAAAAAGCTAAATAAATCACATAAACATGAGTCTGTATCTGAATACAATTACAAAAATATCCTTTATACAATAGGATTAGCATTACCTTATGGTCTCTCTTCACAATATTAACAACTCCCAGCTTGATTAAGCACTAAAAATATATTCAGAACACTTTTCATCCCGTTTCTCACATATCAACTTTTTTTCTTTATCAGTGCTACCAATTAAGCTTGTAAGAATAAAATACACAAAAAAGGGGAGTATTCATTGGAGTCAATCTTCAAAACATTTATTGCTGAGAACATTCCTCTTTCCCATGTCATTCCACTATAGCCTGTACTCTAACAACTGATGTCTTGCAGTCTAGTTACTGTTTGCTTATCTCTATTTACAATATGTGTGGTCATCATGAATTAATCATTGTCCATTACTGAATCCTTAACCTACTCTCAGAATTCTATCTCCAGGACCCAGTGAGGCAGATGAAAGGCACACCTGGTTGCTGCCAACTTGAGCCCTATGTGCAAAAAAGGTCTTTCACACCTCTAAAGGAGGCTTCTAGTGCAATCCACAGCACAATATTTAATTCAATAAAATGAACTGATATTATTAAAAAGACGTATCAATATAATCTGCCAGTAGAATTACAATTATCACCAAACCCTATGTAACTCCAGAAAGAGAAGGAAGAATAATGGCACCAAAAATAGTGGCTCAAAACACGTGGAAGAACACTCAAATTACCAAAATGGCCAGTAAGTCAGGACCAGTCAGATCCTGGCTGATGACACGAGGAAGAACTCAGAGAATGCCTGTATATACTGTACCCATTTCGTCTGACAAAGCTCATTTTCAATGCAAAGTGACACTCTGGACTTGCCTTAATCTTGATACTTCTCTGTGAAAACTCATGTGAATCTTTTCATAGGCAAATAATATTTGATAAAACATCACTTGCAGGCAATTTCATAAGAAGGTTAAAAAATATGAAGCTGTCACTAATATTTAGGACACTTTATTGTTTTATATTATGTAATTTCAACAATAATTACTATTATTATTGTTTATATTGTTTCCTGTTATAAGGCTCTAATCTATCTGAGAATTTGAGAGTAGACTAAACAATCTAAGACATCTCAAGCAGACCACCTGGCATTTTGTTCCCTGGAGGAAGGAGGAGAGATTTGATATTTTTTCATTCTTGGTCTTTATTTAAATGCTGTAAAATGAGTTCTTATTTCAACTCTATAAATGTATTTATGCCCTTACTAAACTCACTATTTCCCATGCTAAAAAAAAAAAATAGAATAGCACAGCAATTTGTCTAAAAAAAAAATCTTTTTATTTACCGAAGAAAAAATGAGAACACAGTAAACAACAAAGAGGTAAATGTTATTGGAACAAATACTAACTGTGACAAAATACAGCAGATTAACAGTAAATCGAAAACATTCCCAGTTAATTAACGATATCAAAGTCTGTTCATGTCCCACAGGATTTGAAGTTTTGAAGAATTTAAAATAAATGATACAAAAATGCACTGCCATGAACAACTACTGTATTTATTATGTCAACAGATCAAGTACAAATTTGAATCACTTACTTCAAGCCACACAGACCATGTTCAACATATCAAATTCTGATAAAAACACTTTCTTTCAGCGTGACCTTTGAGTTCTTAGAAAGTGTTCTAAAATACATCACTTCAAAAGCCTGTTTGCAGGTCATCAGATTTATTGATTTAAGCTTTGCCATCAAGGGACAAAAACCAGGAGATTATTCGCTGCATTTGTCTGAAAACTGTGTGATTCAAGTTGAAGTCAACAAATGTTCTAGACAGAGAGAATCACATCAGACAGTCTATTAGGCTATTGTGAGAATATTAGAAAGCCACAGTTCTCAATTCTGCATAACTGATGGGTTTGAAAATTAATAACTTGCACTCAGTATTAATGGGAATGACTTAACAACTGGTAATTTATTATTCTATAATTATGGTAGCAGATAATACCTAAATTCCATTTTTTTCTAATGTGAGCACCAGAGATCCAACACTAAAAAAAAAAAAAAAAAAAAAAAAAAGAGCAAACAGAAAATATTAAGTCCTGTCTGAAAGGACTTAAATATGTTGCATGATGCATGTCTAGTCAATTGTTGCAAAACTTCAAGAATATTTGCAACAAACTAACACTATTTACTTGGTTTGCAAGGCCGTAGCAACCAAGAGGTTTACATAACTAGAGTTTAACCTAATATGTATTTTGCCTTCAGTATTTCACTGCCATTGAAATACGTCTATTATTTCTTCAGCCATCAGTGGAAGGCTCTAAAACAGGAAAAAAAAATGGTTGAAAAAAAGCACCAATTGCTTTTGGTATCCTTGTGCTTTGGTGATTGTGTATGGAGGAAAGAGGTGCCAGCTACATCTGTGCATGTCTAGGCACTTCCTCTTAACACTCAATCTGCATGAGGTGGAGAATTTAGATTCAATCTAGAAAGGAGTTGATTTTATAATAACTAACAATGCAACAAACCTGAATCACAGCAGACAGTGGTAGAAAAAAAAAAAAAAAGCAACACACTAGAACAACAAAAAACCCAAAATAAAACTGTAACAAAGGATGTCATTAATAACAGATTCTCTTCCTTTCAATGCAGATGCTGTCTGACCCCCAGGCTCTCATCATTTCCCTACCACTAGATTTTACATATGTAATTTGTTTTTAATTTAAATGCATTAGCTAAAACAGCACAGACAGTTCCTTTGAAATAAATTTGAAATAGTTTTTTTTTTAATTAAATTATTTATTTTCTTTTAATGTAATCTCGAGAAAACCGCCATTTCTCACACTGGGGCTGCAATTAAGCCAAATGCTATCACAGACAGTGATGAAAAAAATCCACCTTCTAAGGCCAGGCTGGTCTTTGTATTCCAGACTCACAAACTACCTTGTAGTTGTTGGGGTTTGGTGGTTTTTAAAAAGAAAATACAGATTTTCTTTGATATTCTATAATTTTATGTATTTCTATAATTTTATTTCAGTAAGAGATACTGGAAAATTCTCATCAACATCTTGAGCTTACCCTGTAATACATTTGTACTGTTATTAACAGGAAATAAAACAGCCTTAACTTCACTATAAATAACTGACTTGCATAACAAAAGTCTATGAAAAGTTACAGCCACAGCTGAACTTTTTTTAGACAAGTGGATTTCTAATTTTCTAGAAGATCAAGCAGATACAGCTTTTGATTTGCTGCATTATAAAAAAATGCTTGAAATGCTGATTCTTTCTGCTTACAAAAATCAGCAGTTAGTAAGAAAGTCTCCAGAGAGACAGAAACATTTATCACTTGAGAAAGCACACCAAAAATACATTATTTCTTCAGTATCTATTTTGCCAGATCATTTCACATAAGCACCAGGGAAAGATAGACACTATTTCACTGTCAAAACTTTTAATACTGTTCATGGATTCAGGCATGGGCTTTTTTCTTACATGGTAAATGATCATCTAATACAAAGCAGAAAACAATCCATACAAAACTCAAGTCTGAATCATTTGGTGCAAATCCAACCATTTGGCACTGAAACATCAATACACAAAACTCCAAGAAATAAAGCAAAAAACAACAAAAACAAAACCAAAAGCAAACCAATAAAGCCACCACAATAAAAAACATGCCACTAAACTGACCAGAACAGGAAAAGAAATACTTTCTTGAAGCAAGACAACTTCAGAAAGATACCATACATGTCAGCTAGTTTGAATTTTGACTCTTCATTTTTTTCTCCAAAGTGAAACACAATCTTTGTGTTCCTACTTGTACCAACTCTTATTAAAATCAAGATAATTGCTTTTATGGTGCATACAAAATATTTCAAGTTACAAGTGTGTAAATATCCCCTAGTGTCAGTCTTCTGACAAGTCTGTGGCTGCTTTGCACATGCACAGAACAAATCAACCGTTTATTATGAAACTTCTTCCCACTTCTGATGATTTTCCAAGTCAGCAAATATTGTTACTATCCCTATTAAATGAATTTATTGCAATAATCCTTTAAAAGTAATGAGTTTGTTTTGCATATTAGGAACTGCCAGGCACCTCTGAGGTGTGTATTCATAGCTCCACAGTTGCGGTTGCACACACTTCACAAATGTTGCTCAGAGTGTTTGTGTAACATACAGCTTAAATATATAGATACATATATAAATTTTGTCTTATAATTAAAAAAGCAGAATCAGCATGCAAATGAAAGCTCAAATATCTATTAAATCTATCTATAGTTTCCATGAAAAAAAGTATGGTTACTCCATGACATCTCCAAAAGAACCTCAAAAACTAACCCCATGCAAAAACCACTTTCAGATATTAAAGCCTCAAACTGTAAATGTAAATTGAGATTACAGAAAAAGGCACTTTTGTTTAAATCCCAACTTTTTATTTCAATTAATATCTCTTGCCTAGAAGAAAGGCTGTGCTATGCATTGCTTGAACTGT